GGATTTTGGGGGGATTTTGGGGGAGATTTTGGGGGATTTTTGGTGGGGATTTGGGGAATTTTTGGGGGATTTTTGAGGGAATTTTGGGGATTTTTGGGAAGTTTTGGTAGGTTTTAAAAATGGGATTTTGGGGGAGATTTTGGGGGATTTTTGGTGGGGATTTGGGGAATTTTTGGGGGATTTTTGGGGATTTTTTGTGGGGATTTTGGGAATTTTTGGGGGATTTTTGAGGGAATTTTGGGGTTTTTTGGGAAGTTTTAGTAGGTTTTTAAAAATGGGATTTTGGGGGCGATTTTGGGGGAGATTTTGGGGAAGACTTTGGGAGATTTTAATGGGGTCTTTGAGGGAATTTTTGTGGGATTTTGGGGGGATTTTTAACGGGATTTTAGGGGCATTTTGGGGGATTTTTTGGGGGGATTTTTGAGGGAAATTTGGGGATTTTTTTGAGCACTTTTGGAGGGATTTTAGGGGCATTTGGGGGGATTTTTTGGGGATTTTAGGCAGATTATTGGGGACTTCTGGGAGATTTTGGGGATTTTTAGGGGATTTGGGGGGATTTTTGGGGGAAGATTTTGGAAGATTTTGATGGGATTTTTTTAGCGGATTTTTGCGGAATTTGGAGGGATTTTTGTGGGATTTTATAGGGGATTTTCGGGGTATTTTGGGTGGATTTTTGCGGATATTTTGTGTGATTTTTTGGGGGGGATTTTAGATCTTTTCGGGGTGCGTTTTTTTGGTAGTTTTTATTTTGATTTTTTTCCCCTCCCCATAAATTCCCAGCTGGGATTCTTCAAACGCCGCTACAAGGAAATGCTGGAGGGCGCCGAGACCCCGGGGGAACCCCCTGCGGAACCCCAGGACTGAAGAAAACGAATCAGAGAAACTCCTCGGGGCGCTCATTAAATCCTCATTTGAATATTCATTAAAACCCAATTAAAACGAATGAAAAATTCGCTTCGAAAGCGCGTGAGGGGGGGGGGGGGGGGGCTAAGTTTGATTGACAGCCGCGGGAGCGTGCCGCGGCCAACGAAACCTCGCGAGATTTCCCGAGACTTGGCGCCGTTCCCGCCCTTTCCTCCCCTCCCACCCAACATGGCGGCGCACGCGGGGTCCCCACCCGGGCCGGGCATGTCGCGACAGCGGCGACAATCGTGGCCTCGCCTCGATCCCGACACCGCCGAGTATTTCCGGAGGGCCCTGGAGACGCTGGAGGAAGGGCTGAGCGAGGAGGAGCTCGGTGAGGGGGGGTTGGGGGGTCCTGAGGGGATTTTGGGGTTTCTGAGGGAATTTCGGGGAGTTTATGAGGGGTTTAGGTGCATTATGAGGGGATTTTGGGGTTTATGAGGGAATTTCGGGGAGTTTATGAGGGGTTTGGGTGGGCTATGAGGGGATTTGGGGGTTTATGAAGGAATTTCAGGGTGTTTATGAGGGGTTTAGGTGCATTATGAGGGGATTTTGGGGTTCATGAAGGAATTTCAGGGAGTTTATGAGGGGTTTAGGTGCATTATGAGGGGATTTTGGGGTTATGAGGGAATTTCAGGGAGTTTATGAGGGGTTTGGGTGGGCTATGAGGGGATTTTGGGGTTTATGAGGGAATTTCAGGGAGTTTATGAGGGGTTTAGGTGCATTATGAGGGGATTTTGGGGTTTATGAGGGAATTTCAGGGAGTTTATGAGCGGTTTGGGTGGGCTATGAGAGGATTTTGGGGTTTATGAGGCAATTTCGGGGAGTTTATGAGGGATTTAGGTGCAATATGAGGGGATTTTGGGGTTTCTGAGGGAATTTCGGGGAGTTTATGAGGGGTTTGGGTGCATTATGAGGGGATTTTGGGGTTTATGAGGGAATTTGTGGATTTATGAGGGGGTTTTAGGATCTATGCGGGGATTTTGGGGTCTATGAAAGGATTTTGGGGTTTATGAGGGGCTTATGATGGGTTTTGGGAGTTTATAAAGGATATTGGGGGTTTAAGGGGGGGAGTTTTGGGTTTATGAGGGAATTTGGGGGGTTTATGAGGAGATTTGGGGCATTTATGAGGGGATTTTGGGGGTTTATGAGCAAATTTCTGGGAGTTTATGAGGGGTTTGGGTGGATTTTGAGGTGCCTGAGCGAATTTGGGGGGTTTATGAGGAGATTTGGGGCATTTATGAGGGGATTTTGGGGGTTTCTAAGGGGATTTGTGGGTTTGTAAGGGGATTTTGTAGTCTATGAGGGGAGTGTGGGGTCTATGAGGAGATTTTGGGGTTCATGAGGGGATTTTGGGGGTTTATCAGGGAATTTTG